GTGGTCTGAACACTGTCCTTTTAACAGAGGGCAGAGCATAGCCTACCAGGTTAATTCAGTTACGAAAAGTGGCATGCTCTATGTCATTACAATATTTTTTAATCTGCCTAAATTCCACTTACCTTTTTTTTTTTTCCTTCCCCTTCAAGAGGTCTTTGCTTTTACTTCTCTTATTCCATGGAGCTGAGACCTATCTTTACTGAATCAGGCCCTGCCCAATTCACTGCTGAGAAGAGAAGTGTTTAACGACTGTTACAGAGCTCGTAAATCACAAAGGCCCTGGCAGTAATAAGTCTTTGAGAACACTCTGAAAAAAAGTTGAGATTCAGAAGTGAAATATTATGGGTTGAAACTAAATAGTGTTTTTCCTGAATGCTGTTGAGTACCTTGGCTTCTACACTGTAGGTGCTCATGAAAGCTGGTGTAATGGGGATCCTTGTTTTCGTTGTTGCCCTTTGTTTTCAAAGCATTGCCACTTCAGAATGTCGAAGACAAGACTTCAGAGTTTTTGCTGGTTTGTTGCAGAAGCAATAGAAGCGGTGGAGGAGGCAGGGGGTAACTTACCTGTGTAGGCTTCAGACACTTCCTTTGCAGTAGGTCTGGGGAAGGGCTCAGTATGTAATTTTACAGTAGTGCTTCTTTTGTCAGAAAGTGAAGAGTTACTTTTTAATTTGTAGAGGGCTTTTTTTTTCCCCTCTCATTTAAAAGGGATCTGTTTTATCATTTTCTGTTTCTTTCTCTGCCTCCCCTTCTCTTCCCACCGCCCCCACCCTTGGTTTTGTGCAAAACAAAATCTGTTCCTGTAACATCTTGATGGAAGTGCGTTCCACTCCATGGTTTGATGAATATTCAGAATAGGCGCACTGAACAAAGTGGAGCACTTGGTCTGTTAAGCAAAAGGCTCAAAGTCAAGAATGAGCATAAGTTCCCAGGCTATGGTTGGGAGCGACTGAGATCTAATATGCTTAGTCTCGCATGGGGGTACAAGGAGAAGAAAGCTAGCTAGGGGGTAGTAGCCAGGGGAGAGTGGCAGTGGGATTAGCTTCAAAGGAAGCGATCACCAGGGTGCTGCATCAGCTCCTTTCAGCAAAACTGCAGGGAGAGATTAAAAAGCAGGGGAAATAGAGAACAGGTTATTAAAAATACTGGAAAATTGTCAAAATATTGTCATTTCTGTGGCAACACTTCTTTGGTTTTTCTTGTTTGTTTATTTTGTCATCCCCCTTCCCTGTTTACACATACGTGACAGAGATGGAAAGCTGAAGGAAGCAGATCAAATCCTTGCTATTAACGGACAAGCCCTTGATCAGACAATTACACATCAACAGGCTATCAGCATCCTACAGAAAGCAAAAGATAATGTCCAGCTAGTTGTGGCCAGGGGCACTTTCCCTCAGCTCATCAGTCCTGTAGTTTCCCGGTCTCCATCTGCTGCTAGCACAGTTTCAGCCCATTCCAACCCGGTGAGTATACCCCAAACATCTGTGTATTCAGTTCTGGGCATGTATTCACTGCATCTAGTATTTTGAGCCTTTTTTTTTTTGTAACTTGTACGTACGTTTCCTTCACGCTTCTTGAGGTTTTTCTTCTATTTATCCTTGTTGTACATTTCCCATGCAAGGAGTAGAAAATATTCAGGCTTGCTGGGAGGGATCTTGATCTTGGACGTATTTTTTCTTCCCATCTGCCAAATTCTCTGTATCCACCACTGCAAATACAGCACATTTAGCTTACTTTATGAAGCTTTATTTTGAGGTAGCAGTAAACAGAATCTTTTTTTCTCTTTGCCTTCTGCTTGGGCAAACAGAAGTTTTTGAGGCATTGCAATCTGATCTGCACAACCAGCCAGATGGGTGCTTCTCTGTTTGTTTCTGTTGTCTGTTAGCAGTGAGGGTCAAGTAAAGCAACAACAGAGAGCCATCAAAATGCCATGTGTAGGGACATACTTTAGGACCCCCCAAAACCAGCTCTGCTACATTTTGTTTCTTTTTAAAGCTTTTGCACATCTGGGTATAGAGAACATAGCTCAGAAATACAGTGATACTGGCTGTGCTTTCTCTTCCTGGTATCTTACTCATGTAATGGCTTGTCCTAGGATGAAATGGCCTATCTTCGGTTTGTAGGTTTTGCTCTTCAGTTATCTGTGGCCCTTCTTTAAGGGAGTCGATAATCAGAAGTATATGGAGCAATCAGTCTGGAAAAAGCAGCTATTGTAGTGGTTATTTTAATCATTAGCATAAAACCTTTAGTGAAGAAATTTCAGAATTACTCTTTTCTTCTGTGTGCAGGAGTAAAGCTGATTGGCCTAACTTTTCCTGTCAGCACACAGGAGAGGCCTGCCCTCTTCCAATATTCCTGTGACACACTTTTTTCTCTATGTGATTGCTTCCCTTGTTTGAAAAAATGTTCCTTTCAAACCTGCCATAGCTCTTTCTGGTTTTTTATGCATGCCTTTCCCAGTCCTTGCGTTCCCTTCACTTTCAAATGCTGGGGGAAAGTAGCTTATCTGGAGCCGTTCTTTTTCCTTCAGGCTTTGCTTGAACATTTGTGGTTTATGTTAAGACTGCGGATTCCCACACAGGTACTACAGGGCTTTGAATTTGCAGTACCTTGATTATTCCAAAATAGCTGCTTATTTTCCAAACCCTACCGGGTGGAGCACCAGTTGCGGTTTTAAATTTCAGATGAGTTTACAGTGTGGTTTGTTCTTCAGGAGAAACAATACCAGGAGCTTCCAGTCGTCCCTTCAGTACTGCCCCACGCGAGTGAGCTAGCATTTGTGTTTCTTTCAGAGCAGTTTTGCTGCTGTCAGAACATGAAGCCTGCCATCAGAGCTACTTCATTCCAGTGCTGTTGACAGCAGAAGACCTAGAAATCTTTGTTCATCACACAGGGGGCAATTCTGCTAATGCCTACCTCACAATACCTGGTGCTGCTTTCAACCTTAACCTTTGAATTGGGTTTATGCTTTCTCCCATGCTTTATTATAATGGCCGATGTGAACATGCACTTACCTGAAGATTTTAATTTCCAATCCTGTGAGATTTCATCGCAGCAGTATTTTTCTCACTGACTCCAATGCACCATGGAGGTGGGCAGTCCTAGGTTGCTGCTTAAATTCATTCAGCAAGTTCTTGAAAGGCCTGACCCACTACCCAGCTTTGGTTTGTACCGAAGAAATTCCAGCTGTTGTGGAATGAGCAAATTATTGCTTAAATATTATGTGATCTTATACCTAATAGTAATTGTTAGAAAGGTCCCATGTTTCCACCTTCCTCCCACCTTCCTTTATTTAAAAACATACCCAAGAAATAAGAGAAAATATTTTGCAAGTTTTAATATGTATGTCCTTGTTTTAATAATTTGCAAGCTTATATTTATTCCTTTTAGGTTCACTGGCAGCATGTGGAGACCATTGAGTTGGTGAACGATGGCTCAGGTCTGGGATTTGGGATAGTGGGAGGGAAGTCAACTGGAGTGATTGTTAAAACCATCCTCCCAGGAGGGGTGGCTGATCAGGTAAATTCAACCTACCCTTCTGTTTACCATTCAGTAAGGTGTGAAGTTACTCTTTACTTTTATAATCGTACTAAGTAGTGGTAGCTTTTTTCCTTATAAGTGTAAAAGAGAGTGAGTGGCGGAATTTATCCTCAGTAAAGGTGTCTTTAGTGCAGGGGATCTGTGCATTTGAATGTAACAGCTGGATTAGGCTCTAAATCACATTTTCAAACCTGTTAATGTTATACCTGTTTCGTGCAGATACATTCAGACTTCTGATTCTTTCATGAATATACTGGTTGTAATCCAGGGGTGGGGGGGACACCAGACGCTTGCTTGCTCCGGCCGGGCAGCTAAGAAGAGCATCTGCTTCTCTCCGCCAGGCTTGCTGAAGCTTGGAGCGGACATGTGGCTTCGTGCGTCTGCTTCAGGACACGGGCTCTGCTCCTGCCTGAAGGGCTCATGAGAATTGAACTTGGTGATCACAGCCTGTTTCAAGCTTGTCCGTTGGACAAGTATCTAGGACAGCGTTAATGATGACCAAGGGTTCAGTAGGCACAGAGACTGGTCAGTCTTCCAACCACAGAAATGGCTGCATAACTGGGCATGGATAACAGGGCCTGGAGATGCATGGACAGGATTTACTGCCACACTCTTTTCCTGCGCAGC